TCAAAAATTCAGAGAACATTTTGTTTCTCAGTGAGGAACATGAGAAAGGGCTACTGAGTCAAGTTTAATCCAGCAGCCATCCTTCCTGACACTGAACTTGAAACCGTGTTCCAACTTTTTCATCATTTTCTCTGATCCATCACTATTTAAATAACAATAATAAAAACACTGAATACTTACTAGGAGGCACACATTTTAAACTCTATCTGCTTAGGGTATTACACTAAAATGTCACTTCTAAAAAAAGACACGTCTAATTTCTCCGTGGTCTCTCTGAAAGGTTAAGTGTGTAGAATAGAATTAATGCTCATTTTGATGTATAGATTATCTGCCCTGTCATTCAGTTTGATATTTTTCATAGACTATTTAAAACTCTAGAATGACAGATAAATCACAGTTGCAACTGATTTATGGATTTTCTACCAAGAAAAAGCAAATAGAGGAGTTAAGCCACCTCAGAAACCAGCTAACTCTCATTTCAGAGTCAAAACATTTTTGAAGTTTGGGTTTTTTCCTCCACAAACATACGTATGTGTTTTGGGAAGGAACAAATTCTATGGCACTTAGTGAAAAACTGAGTCATTTCTCAACATGCAAGTTTTAAAAAATAATGGCTTATTTTACACAAAGAACATAATGCCCTCTTAAAATCCCTTCAAGTCCTCTCATACCTCATATTTATGCAGCAAATCTCTCGGACTTAATATCTCTATGACAGAATTTGCACTTTCAGAGAATACTGCATTAGTCCTCAGGACAAGAGGCTTGGGACTGCACACCATGCAGTTGGGGTGACAAAAGTCCCCAGCTCTCCAGGGTTCCACTGCGAGAACTTCCTACTCAAACTGTGTCCTCCTGAATCCATTTCCAAAGATCTCACTTATTTAAATCATCTATTGCACCAAGTTCCTCCACCTCCACTTGTCTCATTCAAATTTATATATAAATTCCCTACCGCCATAGCTCTTTTTTTTTTTCTACCTTGCATATTTGGCGATTAGTTGATAAACACTGTTCCATATTTAGCTATGCAAAGCAAAAGCTAAGTGCAGAAAGGCAGCAGGGACCCAAAGTTTTATTTTCATTTGTTTTGCTGACTTGAAGCATGCATTTATCAAGAGTAAATTCTACATGACCTGCATGGTGGTTTTATATGATAAAATGACTGAATTTGCAACTGGGGGAGAAGCAGCAGTAGATGTAATTGGCACTGATTTTTGCAACGTTTTTGACACAGATTCTGTACAAAATTGAGTCACTGTATTGTCCACTGGGTGGACAATCAGCCAGGGAAAAGCCTAGTTGTATGGCAAGGCTCAGAGGGTCTTAGTTACTGGTTGTACTTTACATGGATGTCTGTGATAAGTGGGCTGTCACAGGTCTGTCTCGTGACCTGTTTGGTTTAATGGCCTTATGAATGATTTGGAGGAGGTTAAGTGCTCTCATCAAATTTGAAGATGACATCAAGATGGGGGGAGATCAGTTAATAATACTTAAGTGCAGGGCTGCTATTCAGAAGGACTGAGGCAGACTGGGGTCACAGAATGACAGGAATCTTGTGAAATTCAGAAAGGGCAAATGCCAAGCCGCGCACCTGGGAAGGAAGAAACCCCTGCGGTGATGCAGTTTGGCACTGCCTGGCCGGGGAGCTGCTCTGCAGAAAGGATCTCAGAGCCTGGGGACAGTGAGCAGTACAGGAGCCAGCAGCATGTCCTGGCATCAACAATGAGCAGCAGCCTCTTGGACTGCACTAAGAGGTGTAGGGCTAGCATCTGTAGGCAAGCATCTGTCCTCCTCTAATCAGCACATGTAGATATCACATCCAGTTTTGCCCACTCTGGTTGAAGTAAGACATCAGCGAACTGGAGTAGGTCCAACAGAAGCAGCCATGTTCGACGTTTATTCAGTTTGGTGAAAGGTGACAGAAAGGATGGAGATGAGCTCTTCTCACTGATGCTTGGTGGGAGAATGAGGCATTGGTTGTTATTTGAAACAAGAGCTGTTCAGACTGGTCATAAGGAAAAATTCTTCCCCATGAAGACAGTCTGGGAGCAGCATAGGCCACCAAGAGATGTACCATCGTCAGTCTTTTAAAGGCTTTCATGATCAGATGAGATAAAACCCTGGGACGCCTGTCCCTGCTTTAAGCAGTACACTGGACTAGAGATCTCCTCAAGGTCCCTTCCCTCCTGATTTGTCCTGCAGCAGCTGTCCTGTGACTTATCCTACGGTAGCTTCTGATACTGAACAGCAGTCTGTAACCATACGACTTTTACTATATAGCTCCTGGATTAGGCGTGATGGGTAAAAATTGCTTCCCATGGAGTATTTCTTGGAAGCATCCTCTGACCACTGCCATCCATTTTGTGAATGAGCCTCAGAATAAAGGGTGTCCTGGAACTCAGAAAACATCAAACCACACAGAGAGTGAGACTTTGAAATAAATATGTAGTTTCTGAGGAAAAACTGTTTAAATAGTTTTAAAACAGAGCTTGATAAATTTCTAAGCAGGATTACATGATACAATTGCCAGTAATGGCAGGGATAAAATTCGATAGCCTAGGAGCTTGCCCGTGTTTTCATGATTGTTTTGACAAATGAAAGGCCATGTTCCTCATCTTCAAGAACAAATAAATGGAAAATTAAACATAGTAAATATTGTAAATATTTAATTGACAATTAATACGGTGAAATTGAAAGCAGTCTTTTGTTTGGTTCAAAGTTATTGGAGTTTGCAGCTCTGATGCCTGATAGCTATAATATATGATATTCATATGCTAGAGCAAAATGACTATCAGAACAAAAATACACAAGTATGGACAAACCTAATTAAGCTGTGATTCATATCACAGCAGACGAAGCTTATATGATAACCAGCTACAGAGCAGATGCAGCATATATCATTGGCTTGATTATTCAAAATTGGTACTTTAGTCAATTCCAAATTAAAAAGGAGATTGTATATAGATTCAAAGAAAGTCAATCATGATGTATTGTATGGCATTGTAACAAAACAAAACAAAAAAAGTAATTTTCTTCATGAAATAAATGCATAGTTTCAGTTTCTCAATATAAATCATACCAGAATCTGACTGCAGGAGGATCTGAAACAAGATGATATGACCTCCATGCTGCAGCAACAAGGAACTAATGGTCAACATTAGGTCAACATAAAGGTCAACATGAAAGTAATGACTTATATTTTTATAGTGATTATACTTATACAGCATACTGCAGGTTCAGAGGAACAGAAGACATCTTTCTGCAGCTACACACCATGGAAAGGCAGCAAGAGAAATTTTCCAAGGATCCAACTCAAGCCAGGAGAACCACAGCCAATGTTGTGTTTATGCCACTCTTGGTTTTAATAAAGCATCTATCTACAATACTGTGGGGCAAATACATACTTACTGTGATAGTATATGGAATGTCACTGATTTCCACCTGCAGGTTTTTGAACAGTTTATTGAGAAGGGATGAGCCCAAAAAACTTGGAAGCAGAAGGAAAGGGTGTAGTGCTCTGCATCCTACTGCTGATGGTGCCGCAAGAAGAGCTTGCAGGGAGACAAGCTCACTTGCTGCTCCATGACTCTATGCATGGTTGGTGTGGTTCTGACCAGAACTGCAGCTGGATGTGATGTGGCTATTATGGGCTAATCTGGGAAGGATAAAGTACAATTTTATATTCACCACACTACTCTATAAAGTGAAAAATAGTATGTAGCCTATAATCAACTTACGTAAAATCCAGTTCATCGGTGTGAGGACTGATCGGCGTAACTGACATTGCCATTTTTATGTACTTCTGAAAAGCTGCCCAGTGCAATGTACAGAGCATTGTAGAGTTTCAGAGTTACAACAGCACATACACTGTTAACCAGCAGAACCATAACTAGTATACACACAATAGTTTTGAAACAGGCAATGACAGAAGTATCATATTGGGAAAACAGAGCATAAAAATGAATGGCAGCAACCACAGTCAGTGCTATGACTGAAAATCCCTTAAAAATTTCCATATCTCAAATTAATATTATTTTTCTTAACGACACTAAGAGGTCTTTTTTTTAAGTTATTTTTAGTTTTTTAAATACAGTGCCTCATGGGGGGACTACCTCCTTTTTAGGCATTTTAGTCAGTATGGCTGCTATTAAAATAGTAAGGGTTTGTTTCAGTCAACTAAAAGGGATACCAGTACTGTGTGAAATGCTGTGTCCAGGCCAGAATGGGGAAGGTCTCTGTGATGTCCTACACCATACCCAACAGCATCAAGCAAAAATGTTGGACGTGATGGCTTGATTTAAGTGCTAGCAGACATCTATCCTCAGGCTGTGCAGATGAATCCTAAATGCATGTGTTTTATAAGGAAAAAAAGATACAGTATGGTTTAAAAGCTTCAATTATTTCCAAGACATTTTTTTAGATGGGGATCTAAGAAGGGAATTTCTTCATCTCATGACACAACCACAAATTGCAAGTATTGATCAAGGAAAAATTTATTTACAGAGATTTTTCAAATACAAACATAAAATAGCACATTTATATATAATTTTTTTTTTTTTTTACAAAAATGAATATTGAAATAATAAACATGGTACAGCACAATACGACATCAATGAGCTAAACATAACAGAGACAAAAATCTATGTCTGTAATAAGTTCCCTGTCAGTCTAGCATAACCAACGGAGTTCTACAGTACTGTAAGTGAAATTTTCAATGGACAGAAAAATGCCCATTTACTGCACTTCATAAAAGTACTATAGGCAACGGCTACATCTGCCAAGTTATTATGCTGCATTTTTGTAATAATGCTGAAACACAGAGGCTTAATAAAAGATCTATAGGGATGAATAAGCAGTGGCTAAATGTTTGAGGAAGAGAAATGTGGAGAGAACATACAAAATACTGATAAAGTGGCTTATTGGTCCTTTTATTAGGTGTAACGTATAGATTAAAAAGTGTTGTAACACTGAAATTTAATCCACCAAAAAGAAGTTCTAAAAAAAAAAAAAAAAAGAAAGAAAGAAAGAAGAATCGCACCAAAAAGGTTTTTCTCTCTAGTCATTTTGTGCCATGGTCAACATCTGTGTGTGTGCTTTTGGGAACACCGCATTGCAGGGGCATTACCCCAGCCTCCCAGCAATATCTTTTCCTCACTAATCCCGCCATTAATTGGTGCACGCAGAATGTCACAATTTGCCAAAGTGGAGTTTTCCTTGTTTACATGGTTATATTTCTGCGGGGTGGTGAGGAGGCCCTTCCCCAGCCTGCCTGGCGGGGTGGCTTTGGTCCATGGTTCACCTTCTTCCCCTGGGCTCCCAGTGCCACCCACCAGCCCATCCTACTGAGTTTCAGAACGAAAGCACTTAAAATTTTCCTTTTTGTTGTCACTGTGGTCCAGAAGACACCTGTAGGCCCTTGTGCTTCTGGCAGCTGCCCGCACCCGGGGCTGCTCAGTAGGGATACTGCTTCTGCTTCTTGCCCGAGAAGCAGGCCAGCCAGGTGCACACCAGCATGGCTGCCGCCGCACCCCCACCTGTGCAGTAGTAAGCCCAGCCGATTTCGCAGGTTCCTGCAAGGGAAACAGAGCAAGACATGATAGGAAAGGCAGAGGCTGCTGGCTCCAAACACATGTCAGCAGTAGAGCAGGCGCCTCTCGGCCTGCCAAGCCCAAGGACAGGCCATGGTACCATTCATTGCTTTACCCTGCAGCAAAAACTTGGAGGAAGGCAGATGGGAGAACTACGTAAAAGCTATTTTTTCTCCCTAAATCTCTGCTCCAGCAGTACGCATTTACTGACCAAATAAATGAGCTCCCACATTTCTAAGCATATTTTCAGGACTTGTGGGTTTCCAATTGGACTGATGCGGGACAGCAGCCGAAGCAGCAGAGTCATACCAGCTCCACAATCTCATGTAATGGGACCATCTGGCAGATGTCTCCATCTAGGAGAGGAGGATATGAAGTGACAGGCCAGGACACTGGGTTGTCAAGAGAAGAAACACAGGCTCTCTGGGCCAAAGGAGCATAATGTTGTGGAACAAATTGCACAGGGGCTTCTAATTCCCACTATTTTCACAAGTTGCCACCAAAAGCAAATCAGATCCTTAATTCACACTAAGATCAGACTTCCAGTGAATATCACATTTCATTAAAATACAAAAGGAGAGAGACTTCCCTGTTCCCACCCAATGTCTCCACTCATTACTTAAAACTTCATGGATATTTAGCCTGGTGTGTTTTCACAACATCTTAATATGGCCTTCAATACTTTTAAAGGGCCTTAGTATCATTATATAAGTCAAACTCATCCACAAAAAAATGGCGCTGAGGAACCCCACAGTGAACCATAAAGTGATTGCTCTCCTTCCAGGCAACACTGCTATTACTGTCTAAGTGGCCAAGAAGGCCAATGGCATCCTAGCTTCTATCAGAGGAAGTGTTGCCAGCAGGAGCAGAAAAGTGATCATCCCCGTGTACTCAGCATTGGTGAGGTTGCACTTTGAGTACTGTGTTCAGTTTTGAGCTGACTGCTGCAAGAAAGATATTGAGGCTCTGCAGCACATCCAGAGAAGGGTAATGAAGCTGGTGAGGGGTCTGGAGCACAAAACTTATGAGGAACAGCTGAGGGAAATTAGATTGTTAGTCTGGAGAAGAGGAGGCTCAGGGGAAACCTTATCGCTCTCTACAATGGCCTGAAAGGAAGTTATGGAAAGGAGGGGGTCAGCCTCTTCTCCTGCATAACTAGCAATAGGCCTCAAATTGGATGTCAGTAAATATTTCTTCTACAAAAGAGTGGTCAGGAGCTAGAATGGGCTGCCCAGGAAGGTAGTGGAGTCATCATCCCTGGTGGTGGAGGTGTTCAAGAAACATTTAGATGTTGAAATGAGGGACATGGTTTAGTGGGAAATATTGGTGTTAGGCAGACGGTTGGACTAGATGATCTTGGAGGTCTTTTCCAACCTTGGTGATTCCATGATTCTACTCCTGAGGACTTCAATCAGTCTTAATAAGCATCATCACTTTGGCTTCATCATGTTGGTCATCTTGATTTCAACTGTTCTCTCTCTCCTACTGAAGTACCATCTCTCTTCACTGACCAGTATGCACTCTCAGCAATACTACACCTCCTTCCTACCTGCTGGCACTATTCCTCCCTCCAGAGAACAGAAGGTAACAACAGTTTCCACCTAGAAAAAGCTGAAACAGGTGGCACATCCATACTTTGTCCTAATGGTGTTCTTGAGGTCCAGGCTTGTGGGCTGGACAGTTATCAAGATTGCTAATCCTGCCTTAGGCACAAGATGCACAAGATGTCTGTACATTTCAACATGTCAAAAGCATTAGCATGCCTGAAGGCAAACAGCATGTCCATCAGCTGTGTGCAGGATAGTGGCAGGCCAGTCTTATAATGAGATGTGAGTGGGAGACAACACTTATGCTCGTGTCCCTTCTGCAGACCTCAGGATGATGCCACAACATGCAGCATACTACTTGTTTCTTTTCTTCATAATACTCAATTTCTTTTTATTTCTATAAAAGGCTCAGTGAAACAAAGATACTTCCATAACCAGAGAATTTTAGGAGCTGAGGCCCTGGTTTGGGCTCATATTCTCTCCCCTGAATGTGCTGCAGTAGAGAGAGATATTTATTTGGTTTTGTAATCTTGATGTGTTCTGTAGATTGAAACAATTCTTGGCTCCCTTACAAAAGGCCACACGGAGAATCTGACTTGCAACATAGAAGACCATCAGAAATCATGGAGAGCTGCCAAGTGCCTTGCAGTGTCCCTGGCGATGATCCTTGCCTGACTGTACAGCAGTCTCTGGATAGAACAGACCCATCTCTGGACAATTCCTTTACCTGTACACACATGTCTGTGGTTTTTGCTGGGATTTTCAAAACCAGAATTAAGCACATACCATCTGTCTAAATCAACTGGATTGCTTTGAAAATGATCATGTTTATACCAGAGTTGAAGGTGATGGACTACAATTGATAGGTCTTGTGAACTGCCAAGTATTCCTAAAGCTACAAAAGAATTGTAATGGCCACTTCAAAATTTAAAACTTTCTCATTGTGATGCTTCCAAGTAGAGAAACTAAACATTTAAACACTACTTAAAAATAGTTTAAAGATTTGCCTGCTTGCACTGCCTAAAGCTGTGACCTACATGGAATATAGTGAAGTAAATTTGACCTTTGCATGATGTGATTTCAACTTCTGTGCATTGGTCATTGGAGAGGAGAAGAGTGCACCTAATTCATATTAAGGACTGTTAAATTAGTATCAGAGATGTGTCTAACAAATACACCATGCACATACAGTCTTGGATGAGGAAAATAGCATCTATTTCTTCATACCATGCTCCATTTACTCTAAGGATCACTGTCCTACTTAGTGCTCTGAGGCAAGGCAGGCAGTCCCTTAATCTAACAAATGCAATCTACATCACAGGTGTGAGCTGGGTCAAGATGAACAAATATAAGAACGGGAGAGTGCAGAACAATGGATGAAAGAGCAGGAAGGCTGACCTTTGAGCAATAATAACAAAGCAATAAACCTGGCCATTATTTCCAGCCTGTGTCAGGAGCAATGGGAGGCCTCAGACAAAACAGCTTGATCTCTACTTGCATGATGCTGAGCAGAACAGCATTTCAAGCTATTTCAAGTGCAGAAGAAGTGCCTGCAGCAGGAAGGTGTCTGAGGGCATAGAACTTAGTCATACTTTTCATTTTAAGTAGAGGTAAGTTCATAGATTAGTACAGCTATAAGGCCAGAGAGAATCTATTCTAAAAGTACTTGTTGAAATGAGAGATTGCCTAAACTGCATAGCTACATGTCAAACCGAAAATATACTACCCTTATTGCGCAAGGAAAAAAAATAATGTTAATGTTTCTGCATTAATGTTCTCATTTTACTACGTGTATGTGCTATTTTAATCCCCTACACCCTCAAGAAAAATTAGTGGTTGCCAATAATTGGGCAAATTAACTGCAGTTTACATTGCAGAGTTGTTTTTGTTTCACTTTGATATTAAACTATCAATTTATAAGAAACATGAAGCTTTATAAAAAGTAGGATTAATAAGTAATTAAATATAGTACCAAATGGAAAGAGATACACCTATCAAAATGCTTTGTCATAGCAAAGATAGACTTTGCTTTCTAGCATCTTATTTTCTACAAATCAGTTACTATTATTTGTTAATTAGTTACAACTAATTATTAATTACTAGTTTTTATAAATATTGCAATAAGAGGTGCTGTAGAATAATCCTTTCTCATGTTCAACCTTTATTGTACGGACATCAGTGCGACTAACCACGTATTCGGAGGAAAGCAAATGATTAAAAGCTCTACAGAACTGGGCTTGAATTTGACCATCAAGAGGGGCACTTTGCCTTCACACAGCCCAGAATATTAAACATCAGAATTATTGCAGTGCAGTTTCCCTTTTTTGAAATTAATGTCAAATCACTAGAATGAAGAGCAACGCTACCTAATTACATGATAGAATTAAATAAGTGCAATTTTGTAAATCTTCACATACACAGAAAAGGTGTTGTTTTCATCAAGACTGCAGAGAAATATATACATGTAGAAATGTGCCAGGGGTGTGTGGAGATGCATGCAAGAATGTGTACCTGTTCCTGCACATAAGATGGGCTGATCTTGTTTCATGCCAAAGTAAACTCCCCACCAACTGAAGTGCTCTTCTGGCTGACACAGATGATACACACCACAGCGACTCCCTTCTCTGCATGGAAGTGTTGCTGCTCTTTACTAATCAGTCTTTACCTAGCAGATCAGTATGGAGGAGAAAATGTGAGCTGCGGTTTTGGTTTTTTATTAATTCTGGAAAGGAAAGCATTACTAATTGGAGCTCTTCCCTTCCAGCAGCTCAGTGAAGTAGAACCATCCAAGTCAGCTCTGGTAAAACTGGCATTATGAACTCTCTTTTCACATTTGAGATAGGCAGTAAGAGAGCGTCAGGATTAACTGTGAAATCAGACAATCACAGACTTTGCAGCTACAGGGCTTGTTGGCCACTTTCCAAGCAAACAAAAGGAGGGAAGAGTAGCAATATCATGCTCCTCTCCTTTGTAAAAGGACTGAAAGACATTGCAGTCCCCGAGGATAAAGGACAAAAGTGAGGTGAACGAGGACAGCATCAAAGAAGGACTCAGCAGAAAGATATCCCATAGAATATAAAACATTATTTGCTAAATTGAAAGACTTCAGTGAATGTGAAAGGCTAGTGTTGCAATGATGGAAGGGATTGTTCACAAAAACTTCCATGCCCCTTCCTGATCTCTAACGTAATCCTCAAGGCCGTGAAATGCGACCTCTGTTCCCCTCCCCTGCTCCAATATGTAAGGCAAATAAAGATTAAGAGAAATTTGGGAGTGAGTGAACTTTGGCAACAGGAACTTTGCGGATACTTGATCTCCTGTGGAGCTGTGCCAGGATCCAGTTGCTAAAACTGAATTTTACCAGGATTTGTACTTCTGATGTCTTATAAAAAAAACACACAGTTATCAAGGTCCTGGAAATAACATATGTTGTTC